CTCCGCCGGCGCCGCGACTAACTGTTCTCGCACCGTCTGCAGCGTCTCCTTCAACGCGTCTGTTGCCGCCGCCGGCGATTCCGCTACGGGCGATACGTCTACACGCGGCGTCATACTCGTCGCCTTCGCCACCCCCGCTGCAACCGGAACCTCCGCAACCAGACCCGACGCCCCCGCCGCCCCAGCGGTGGCCCCTGCCACCCCAGCGGTGGCCCCTGCCACCCCAGCGGTGGCCAGCAGTTGGCCGGAGGCGTGAACCGGGTCTCCGCCCTCGACCCCAACCCCCAACTCAGTCCCCACTTTCGAGGGCCCGGATGGGACGGAAACGGGGCCTGGGTCGACCGACTTCGCAGGCCGGTAGCCAAGCACCGACCCGCCGGCGCCTGGTCCGTGACCGAGCGAGATGGAGGCGGTGAGGCGGGCAGCAGCACTGCGGCCGGGAAGCGGTGGTGGGGGTGTCTCGTCGACAGCGCGCTGTGGTGGAAGTGTGTAGGCGTGCTGCATAGCGGGCGTGGGGACCAGCGGCGACTCTGGTCGAGTGGCGGGTGACGCCGCCGCGACTCGGGCCAGCGCGGGCACAGGGCTGTAGATTCGGGAAGACTCCTTCGCCGGCGGCCGGACCAGTCCGTTTTCAGACGGGAATGGGAGGGAGCGCCGCGGTACGGGCGGCGGCGCCGCTGGGTCCGAGGTGGCCGACGCGGCAGCCGGTGGAGAGACGGCCGGTGGAGACAGACTCACGGGCGCGGCGTCAGCACCGCGATCGTCGGGGCCGCCGGTGAGTCGTCGACCAGGCACGGTGAGCTGTCTCGGGACCGGGGACAGCTCGGCCACTGTGCTCCGGTCGAGCAGGGTGCTGGACCGAACCGCTGTGCTGCTGAGATCGAGCGCCGCGTTGGGGTCGAGTGTTTTTGGCAGCGTGTTTGGGAGAAGTGTGGTCGCCTCGAGGGAGGCGGAGGTGAGCCGGTTGGGAGAGAGCCCGGCGCGACTGGAGGCGTCTCTACTGGAAGCGGAGAACATGCTGGCGGAGAGCATGCTAGCGGAGAGAACTGACTCATCGTCTTTCTGCGAAGGTGCGAACAAACCACCGTAATCGGACTCCGGCTGGCCGGTGTGGGGCACGTCCCAGTGTCGATTGAGTTCGGCGAAGGTGTCCCTGTGGTGGGTGGTGGTAAGTTGTGTCTGAAGGATGAGGAAGAGGCTGCTGACATGGTAGTAGATGGCGACGCAGTCATTGTAGAGGAGCTGGAACTTCTTCAGCTTGAAGAAGTGCGGCTTTCGCCAGTAGTGTTCTACCGTGGCGTTCTTGAGGAGTTCTGGGTGGCCCTGCATCAATTTGCTCGAGTCGCCCAACAGAGTCCATACGTGGTCTCGAAAGTCATCTAGACTGATCATGGTCGCCTCGAGGTCGTCGCTGTCGGCGGCTGTCATGCCTTCTTCTTTGGACGCGTTCCTTGAAATGCTTTTGCGTATGGCTTTACTGGTCTGCTTAAACAGCGTGTTCGTCTTGGTGAGAATGTTCTTTTTTCGGCGCCCGTCTAGTGGTCGCATGCCCTTGATCTTAAAGCCCGATTCGAATCCAATGAGTGGCTCCAAGACCGCGCTCATCTTATCGCAAACGAGTGAAACCTCATGCACGATTTTATCACGTGCGCGTAATGGCACTATGAACTGGTAGCCGATGAACCCTAAGACGGCTCCGATGTAGGAGCCGAGAGTACAGATGCACATGTCGTAGACGATCTTGGTTGAGTAGTTTCCGTATAGATACACGTGTGTGCTGAAGCCTTGATAAGTGAAGTTCTCCTCCATTTCTGAAGGGAAGTGGTGGATCCAGAAGTTCCAGAAGAAGGGCGAGGCCACGCAGGCGAAGTAGAGAATCCACCGAACCTCATCGTTGTCCTCGTAGCCGCTTAAGCCATTCAACACCATTGGGACCATAAACAGGAAACTGAGAGCGGCCGCAAGTGTGGTCCCCAAAATTCGAAGCGCAGCGTTCCGCGTGGTAGCACCCGTGGCTATGTCACACGTCGTGATTGCGTTGATGCAAATAAACACCGATAGACCACCCCACACAGGACCCCAAAAGTAATGAGCAGGAGGCCGCATATATATCAGGATCGAGGACACCGCTTGAATCATTGTCCACTGAATGCCCAGTCGGTTCCCCTTTACGCCCTTGGGCACAAAGTCCTCCCAGATGCGGCGCAATACGCCTTTCCAGCCTTGCAGACCGCGGTCTTTTGATATCGTGTTCAACCGTTCAATCGCACCCACGTTGAAACGCTCGTAGTCCTTCGTCTCCATACCCACTGTCGTCTTGCGACCCACCGCCTGGAATAAGTCGAACGTCGTCAACTGTTGCACCGTCGCCGTTGGGCCCAACAAACCCGTCTCAGGCAACGCCGGCTCCGTCCCCCCTGCAACATCGACCAGAGACATATCGATCGGAATCTCCGTCGGCAAGATTACACTCGCCCCCGTAGTCGTCGTCGGCACCACTGTACGAGACTCCTCCCGGTCGATGTCGATGACAGTCACCTCAGGCACTAGGCCCCTCCCTTCCGGAAAGGAATCCGTCAAGTAAGCGGGAGACTCCTCGAAATCAGGCTGCACATACGCCTCCCGACGGCCTTCGGTATCCTGGCGACCGATCCCGTCGATTCCGTCTGGGCTACTCAGTCGTCCCCTTTCTGCTCCCGGGCCGTCGGATGACCTTGATGCGTGCGCCAGCCCCGTTCCGTCCACTGACCCTGGTCGTTCCATTGACCCCCGTCTGTCCAGAGACCCTCGTCCGTCCGTTGACCCTGATCCTTTTGTGCTGTCTAGTTCCCTGTCACCGGTCGCATTTGTCATTCGAACAAAAATCTTGCCATCGAACCTCGGAGCTGTCGATAAAAATAGTTCAGGAGGTTGGTCTGTGGTCAATCGCTGCTAGTTTTACTCGACAAACAACTGGCGTTACTCTCCTGGGCGCAACAGGCCGTGAACGAATGAGCACATTAAGGCCTCGAAATAGGCAGAAGGCCTCGAAATAGGCGAGGCCCCGAAATGGGCACGAGGGACCCGCACTAGGCACGGGACCATTTCCGGGGCCACAGTGAATAAGTTAGCTCCTGGACCCCCGGCGGCTCGAACCCCTGCGGGTCGGCTCTGAGAGGTAGTGTTTGATTCCATGCTTGTGCGGTTTGTGGTTGCTTTCCAGCCACTGTCTGGTTCGGAAGCCGAGCTCGATGACGGCGCTGTAGATGTGTTCGATGAGGAAGACAGTGCTGTCGAATCGATCCGACGTTTCGGCAGCGCGTTGCCAAATGTAGTGTCGCACAGCATCGGGTAGACACATAAAGTCTTCAACCGTGGACCCGGTGGCCGACTCCATGTAGCGTTGTGCGAAGATGTTGGGATCATACGCCCCCGGACAGGCGGCGTCGGGAGCAAATTCGCTAGGGAGGCCGTTTTTTTTCCTACATCCACCCGCGTTGTCCGCACCCGCGTTGTCCGCACCGTCCTTAGTCCTATCGCCCCGACGCAAGGCTTCACCGCCCCAGCTGTGCCCGCCCTCCTGTGGGTCTCCCAAAACCTGCGCAGGGGTGGAGTGTCCAATAAGGCTGGTGGTTTGCTCAAGGGTCAAGTTTCCGAACTGTTTTCGGGATGGCGAATGCACCACGGTCCGACTAAGATTCTCGGTCATCCTGATCAGTCTGTATCTGGCGCCGAAGTGTTGTTTTTTTAGTTGTCTCATGATCTCCTTAAGCTCTTCAATTTCCTCTTGTTCGTCTTGACGGAGCGTGTATCGGCGCTGGGACAGCAAGTCGCCGTAAATCAGCAGCACCCGACTTAGAGCGAGAGCGACGTCGTTGAAGTAGGGTCCCAGCACTGTGAGGTGGTATTCCTCGACGATATCGCAGTGTTTGCCCCAGATGTCCAGTTCGAACTTAGTGAGGGGACGTTGCGTGTTCTGTTTGTGTACGCTGTAGTCGGTCATGAAGCCACCCAGGTAAGGGATGGAGACGCTGCTTAGCAGTTGGCTCGGGTATGCCGCAATTGTCGCCCCCTCGGGCGGGTAGCCAGCGGCTGCAGGGGCAGTGCGATGGTGAACGTCATGTCGCGTAACGTTGGTACCCATGCTCGCCGCCAAGTCAACACGGGAAAGACTTAGGTAATTCGACAAAATCGTGTTGGAACGTGTGACCCAGGATTGTACCTGGTTCTCAATGGAATCCTTGCTGTTGGTGTCTTCGTTGTTAACCGTCAACGTTTCGTGCAAACGTGCCACGAAATAAAATACTTTGAAACAGCTATTCACCAACTTCTGATGACGCGCTTGATTCCCACCCGGATCCAGCTGAAGGTACTCCCATGCCGCACCACGATAACGAGTACGCTGCACACTCAACATCTTCCAAATCGTCTGCATCTTCTCATCCAACAAGTTGTAAAACTCCTGCACCGTCAACACTAAGTCCTTTGTCTGAAACCCTCCCTTGTACTGCCTCGGACTTACGCCCGCGCCCACCAAACTCTCACGCCGAGCTCCTTCCTCAACCCCAATTCGGCTGTCCAGCGAAACGAGGTCTGGTGACTCACCCACCTTCACCTCCTCGAGTGGACGTCCACCAGAGGGACGTCCACCAGAGGGACGTCCACCAAAGGGACGTCCACCAGAGGGACGTCCACCAAAGGGATTTCCCTCCTCTTGGTGTTTTTTAAGTTCATTTCGGGCACCGCTGACTCGGGCACCGCTGACTCCGGCACCGCTGGTTCGGGCACCGCTGGTTCGGGCACCGCTGGCTCGCAGTTGCCGCGCGGATGCAGCGTCCAAGAGGTGCTCGGAGCCGACGCGTTTGGCGGCAATACGGGCGGCGGCAGCCTGGAATTCTGCGTCTTGTTTTTCGTCTTCAGTCTCCTGTATGCGGCGTTCGAGTGCCTTGCTGAGTCGCGTTTCGGTTGCTAAGTGGACCATGCCCTCGCCGGTTCCAGCGATGACATCCACGAGGAAGTGTGTGAGGGAGGCAATGGCGTGTGTGGCAGCACTCAGTTCGTCCTCGGCTACGTGGGCGACGGTGACGGGAAACACAGTGGCGAAGACGACATGGCCGAGGACACATCCGAGTAGGTTGCAGAGAAAAGCCATCCACGTTGCCCACATCCAATTGTCTTCGTAAAGGGCGTACATGAATAGCGAAATCGTAATGCCCGAAAACAACAGCAGTAAGTGCCTTTCCTCGCCCATCAGAAAGTACAGGTAGCCCCAGAAGAACGCACATGCAATTGCGTTCGCAAAGAAGAACCAGCGCAACCATGGCGCCTGCTCTAGATAACGCCAACCTGCTATCCATACCGGGATACCTATCAAATTGGCAAAGAACAACGCGAGTATGTTACCACCAATACGGTCAACTGCTCGCAACAGTGACCCACCCACCGTCGGGTCTTGTACCACACAAGCCGCAGTGGCTATGTAACAATGAGCCGGACCCAAGAACTTCGTCCACGACTTTAAGTACAGCGGAATCCCCGTGGTCAAATACACCACCATTAACTGCAACCCTAACCGCTGCGACGCATACCCCCTCGGAAACCACTTGTAACGAAAGCGGGCTACCTTCTCCACAATACCCATCCATGCGCCAAACAATATATAAATTTAGCCCCGACAGCTACAGGAACGACCATCACCGCCTTCATTGCCCGCTGAAATCCCCCCATTGACCGAGCACAATCCACTGCTGAGTGATGTACCGAGTGAACGCCCACTGAACTGTTCTACGCCATGAACGTTCGTCGATGGTGAACGTTCATGAAACCAGCATGGTTGTCTGTGTATTTCAGCTCCAAAATTCCTCCTCCCTTCCCCCTTCCATTTCCCTTCCCTTCCCTCCTTCCCCTCAGCCACCCCACCCCCGTCAAAACGACGTAATAAAAGCGCGCGAGCATGCACCAATATTTTCAGTGCACAACAATTCGGTTATGACAAAAAGGATTATCGGACAAGAAAAAAAGCCGTGACCAGGAAGAAGCTAGTTCATAATAACTTCGTCTACTTCGTCTACTTCGTCATCATCATCATCATCATCGTCTGCAAAGCATGACAATGGAACGACTTGGTCGGCTTCTGTGGTCGCGTCGAGGTTGATGGATGAAACATTTTTGTTGGATGTTTGAACAGGGAATATGATGCCTGCTTTAGAGAATGTATGGAGAAGCACCAGCAAGTCCGGGATGCTAAGTTCGACGGCTCGCTTTTGCGCGAAGGTAACTACGTCCTCGCTGTGATCTGCCTTATATGGGATGGATTCGAGCAGTTGTCTTATATGGTCCTTGAATGTTCTAAGTTCCACTCTTTTCCCGTTAATGCCTTCGATAAATGAGTGTGTCTTTCGCACACTTTTGCCAGAAGTAAAAGCGGCTGCTAGTGTTTTGCGTTTTCGACTAAAGGCGATACGTAGCATGGCATCCCATTGCAGATAGTTGAGGTTTTGGTACTTCTGTTTGACGGGAACCAATTTTATAACAATGCTATCTACCTTGGGAGGCGGATTGAAGGAGCCTGCAGAGACATGGCAAACTCGAGTCACTTTAAAGAAGAGTTGCGTGTTCACCGATAGTCTACAGTAAAACTTATCATGCGGCTTGGCCACTAGCCGCTCTCCAAACTCCTTCTGGAACATAAGTACGGCCGCTCTATACGTGTGCGGCACGGTGATCATTTTGAAAACAAACGGACTCGAAATCTGGTAAGGCAAATTCGCCGTACAAACACTGAATTCACCAAAGTCCGCCTTCAACGCATCACAGTGCACCACCTCCAGATTCGTGTAACCCGCCGATAACACACGTTTCTTCACCTCCGCTGTCATTCTCACATCTATATCTATCGCACGCACTTTTCGAGCCAACCCGCATAACTTCATCGTCAAGTTACCCGTACCCGGACCAATCTCCAATACCACGTCACTCTTCTTAATATCAGCTGCCTCAATAATCTTCTTCACTATACCCGGATTCTTCAACAAATGTTGTCCATGCTTCTTCTCCAACTTCATCGTCATCTTACCCTTCTTCGACCCATCCTCCTGCGACCGCACCTTCTCACCTTTCCCCTTCTTCAACACAGCCACGGCGGCCTCCTTTAAACTTCCCGCCGCCGGGAAACTCACACCTTTAGCACCCTTCAGTAACCGATGCTTGCCCATCTTATTTTTTTACCAGCTCCCGGGGACCCCAGCCCCCGGGGCCCCAGCCCAGTACAGCGTACAACTTGGCCCGAGAGACACACAAACGGGACTCCTCCCTCTCGGAACGGAGACTCCCGGTCGACAGTTCATTCCAGGCGTCATATCAAGACCCAGTTAGTTGTTAAAATGAAGTTATTTAAGCTCGTCGAAGCAATCACTATATTGATTTTTCGGGTGCTTGGCGTCCACGTGCTGGGTCAGAATCTGCTTGGTACTCGTGCACATAAATGCTTGGCGGCAGACTTTGCACAATATGGTCATAGCTTTGTCCTTCTCCTTGAGAGTGCTGTGCGCTTTAGAAGCTTCCGCCTGCTTCTTCAAATTCTTGGCCCTTGCTAGTTCTCGCTGGTTTCCTCTTGCCATCTGTAGCCAACTGGGCAGGTAACTCCACTTAGTCTCCTCCGGTCCGATTGGCGCGGCAAAATTATGACATCTATTAATGAATTCAGGAATGTAGGTACCGAGGACACATTGAACTTGGGCAATGGGCCCCGGCCAACCAGCAGGCTACTCACACCCAGACGCCTGCCGGCCACCTTGTAGCCCTCGCCCAGATGCGGCTCGACTTGATACGGCTCGACTTTATACGGCTCGTCTTGATACGGCTCCACCTGACGGGGCACAGACACGTGGCTGTAGGCGGGGTCGCTGTACCCGTCGTCGTGGTAGACATCGCGGTATGTGAACGACTCCTGCGCAGGCAGGCCGACGTAGGAAGGCGCCCCGACATAGGAGGGCAGCTCGCTGTATGAGGGCAGGCCGCCGTAAAGCGACCCCAGGTTGCCGGAGGAGGGTGCTGGCCACGGTTCGGGTAAACCGAAGGACGGCAAGCCGAAGGGTGGCAAGCCGAAGGGCGGCGGGAGGTCTTTAGCGCTGACTATGATCTCTTCGGGTGGTTGGTCAGAGACGAAGTTATCGAAGTCGCTACACTCATAGCCGGAATGTGGCAGGATAGGGTTGGTGGAAGGTTGTAAATCTTTGCAGCAGGGCAAGTGGCCGCAGACGTGCGGGATTTCGACACACTCGTTGAAGTTCACACACGCACGATTGTGAACGGGTAACTGGTTGGCAAAGCCGTAAAGGCGGCTGCACTCGCACTCGTAGCCGCCCGGGCTGTTAACACAGGTGCTGATTAACGCCGGGCATTTGTGTGTACCTCGCGCACACTCGTCCACGTCTACGCATTGCCCCCGTCGCTCATCCCACTCGAAGCCCTGGTGACAAAGACAATCTGCCGTCGCGCCCTCGTCCGAAGACACGCAGAAACTGGTCGTCGGGTCACACGGGTTCGCGTCCAGACACGCGTCGTGCCTCCGGCACTGCAGAGTGTCTTGGTCAAAAACGGGAAGACTTCGCGGACAGCGGCACCGGAAGTGCTCATGCACTAGGCCGTGGCTAGCCACCACCAGTCCGTCGCCAGCTGATGAGTGCTCACCCGGTCCCTGATAATGCTCCACCGGCTTCTGGTGGTGCTTATCGGGCCCTTGGTGCTGCTTAGCACCCGACCCATGTCCAGCTGAGTGGTGGTGGTGTTCGGTCCAATGCTGGTGTTCGGCGGCCCAGAGTAGAGCGGGCTGATGCTCACAGACCATACCGCGCCTGCTGCAGACGGAGTGGCCGTTGCTCGACTTACAGCCGTCATGCGGCCAGCAGAGTCCAGAGGCCGGGTCCCGGCGGAAGCCGGAGGAGCAGTCACAGCGGGCCGCACCAGCCAGTGACGTGCAGACCTCATGCAGACCGCAACTGTGCGTCAGACACATGTCCACGGGAAGGCAGGCTACCCGTCCGTCACCCTCGAACCCCGGCTTGCACACGCACCGGCCCGGTCCCCCGAGTGAGCGTACCACGCACTGTGAGTTCTTCACGCAGGTCGTGCAAGAGGCCCACAACAAACGATTCAGCCACGAAGACATTCGCGCAGTTCGAAAAACCTCACACGGAACGCGCCGCGCACCAGGAGGGGTACCACGGTCAGGCCGCGCATCAGGTCGGGGTTACGCGAGACATTGAGCCGAGGCATTGAGCGGAGTCACCTGGTCTCGCAACCATTGGGTCGATCTCAGGCCGCGACCTGAGGGCTAAATCGCGGCCTAACCCGTTCGCGACCTGGGGGGCAGGTCGTAACCAGGGGGGCTGGGCTAGACCATATTAGGCAGCTAGGCAGGGCGGCGGCGCATGAGCGTGGGGAGGCCGAGGTAGAAGGAGGCGCAGAAGGGGCAGAGGTTGAGTGTTTCGGCAGAGTCGAGTAGGAAGCGGGCAGCGTGGCCGGGCCGAAGTTTCTCTTGAGCGATGTAGTGTACGAGGGCGCAGATGCTGAGTGCGCGGCCGCTGGCGGCTCGCAACGGTTGAGGTAGAGAGGGTGGCAGGCGCACCTGCGAGGAGCGGGGCGTGCAGAGGCCAATGGAGCGGCGCGGGAGGACGTGGACGCCATCTTCTGCGGCATACAGGTTCTGCGCCAGAGCCTTTTGCATTCGCCGGTAGACGCCGTGTAGTCCGCTCAGTGGCAGCTCCTCCACGCCACACAGACTCTGCGCCCGTAACGTCGCGTAACCCGCCGTCAACATGAGCGAACCGCGACACCACACCGCCTCCAGACTGCCCGCATCGTTTGCCGAAGACAACAGCGCCTCGAACATTGCACTCGGCGCGTCGTGCAACGCCCGGTCCAGTCTCTTCTCCGTCGGAGTCCCCCCGACGGACTTTTCCTTTTCTGAGAATTTAAACGCCTCACCCCCCGGTGGGGATCGGTCGTCCGGCCCCTGTCGGGGGTCCGGCTCCTCCCAGTGTGTAAGCCGAACGGCGGCCAAGGCGTCGCCGAGGCTTAGCGCCCGGCCGGCGGAGGAAGAGCGACGACGGGCGGGGCTAGAGGTACGACCGGCCGCCGAGAGACGGTGTCGGGCAGCAGCGAGTTTGGAAGCGCACTGCGGAGTTCTCGTCCCCGGGGGCGAGCGGCTGGTTTCGAGGGCGGGCAGGTCATCGGTGTCGGGCGCCCGTTCGATGGCGAGTAGGCGGTAGTTGTAGAGCTCGTTGGGTTGGGTTGGTGATTGGGCTCGGCGAATGACGTAGCCGCGACGGTTGCGTGGCGATTCGCGGTCGAGGTCTTGGAGGAGTGGGAGTGCAGCGGGTGCGATACGTAAGACGGCGACTGCGCAAGCGGCACAGAGCGGCGTGCTACAGTTCGCACATTCCGTTTTCGCCGACACATTCGGCCGGTGCAGTAGCTTCTCGCAAACCACACACGTCTTGAGCGCCGCGGGATAGACGAGGCGACTGCTATGCTCACGACCCAACTCGCTTACCTCGCTCCCGAACGAGGTCCGGCGCCGCTTTAACTGGATCTTCACCGTTTCACCCTGGTGCGGCTCAGAGACAGTGGCACGCACAATTACTGGCGGACCGAGCACGTGGCCGGGGACGACGCCGAGGCTGTAGAGCAGGCCCGCGTCGCTGCTGGTCGCCGACTGCTGTGGACACTTGATGGGCGCCGGCAGACGCTCCGACACGCGGCACTTTCTCTTCCTATCAAAGTGGTAGTTCTCAATCAGGTAGTCCAAAAAACGGTTCTTCAGTTCCGGACAGTAGTTGTTCGCCAGAAACAACTGCTCCAATTCCGGTGCCAACGATCGACCCACCAAAGACGTTAGACGCCGCTCCTTCGACGCCGAACGGAATTTTAGGCGACTAGTGATACCGCCAATACTCACACTCGCACCCCGGTTGCACAACATGCCGATCCCAATGTGGTCTCCGCCCCGCACCGCGTGGTCCAAAGCCGTAAAACCTTCTACGTCCACCAAGTTCACGTCAATCCGCGGGTGGTACAGCAAGTTGAGCATCACTTGCCGACAACGATTTTTCGCAGCCACGTGCAGCGCCGCCGCGCCCTCCCTCCCGTACTCATTCGGCTGCGCACCCTGCGCCAATAAAACCCGCAACAGGCGCAACATCTTCCTCTTGCTCGCTTCGCACAACTCGTCCCCGCCTTTCGACAAGCGAGTGTCCAGCGGTAGGTAACACGCCAGCGCCAGCAAGCTTTCCTCTCTCGCCCGCAAATCGGCTATCGACTCGGCCAGGAACGTCCTTCCGTCGCGCTTGACCATCCTCAGCGTCATCAACTCCTCCACAGACATGCGCTGAAACAACTGCCGCAACGCATCGAAATTATTCCGACAAACGAAGTGTCTAATTATCAAACCCAGCGACTGCGCCGAATTAGCCGGTTCCTCGCTGCACAAGACCGTCGGGATGACTATTGGCCCATATAGCAGCGCAAGCGTCAGCGGCAACGGCGAGAATTTGGTGTTGGAACTTCGAGGCGCGCGCGTAATTGAAGCGCGCGTGTTTGCAGCGCGCGCTTTTGTGTTTGCCAAACACTCACCGAAATCTCGACTGAGAATGTCGTGAATAAGCTTCCCGCGGTCTTCCCCCTCGAGCTTGGTTCGCCGCATGTGATTATAGAACTCGCAGCCTGTCCATTTTGACCAAAATTTTCGGCTGTGCTCGGAGAAGTTAGATCGTTGGGTAACAATGCTCAGTATGTGGAAGCGCTGGATGAGCTTCGGCGTCTCATTATATTCCATGCCGGAGTCGCTGGGAGCGGACATCATCGTGTTGAGATGGCTGTATTCCGCACTGCGGTTATCTCCAAGTTTTGACAGGTCGGGGTCGAGATTGACGATTCGAGGAGTGGTGGTATCCGTATCCCAAAAGTCCAAGGGGTGGAGCAGGCTCTTCTCGGGGTGGTCAGATAATATAAGTTGGGTGGGAATTCCGGCGCTGCCTGTGACGGCATTAAGTGCGTGCGGAAGTTTGGGCCACCGTCGATCCTGGTTGGACATGGTTGTAAGAGTGTCCACTATCTTGTGTGTGCGGGCAGTCAACGGGGCGTCGCTAAGCAAGTGGTCTCGGGTCACCGCCGCGACGCCCCGCAGTTCCTCAATCCCTGGCAACACGTCGCTCGGCGGCAGACCCGTGATAGATCGGCTCACCACCGGCGTCTCCGCGAGCCACCGAGTGGATGGCAAACATGCGCTGAACACCTCGGGCAATCGCGTCATAGCATCCATTGCCACCGGAAAGCGCACTTCGGACCAGTACAGCTGTTGCGGACGAAGTGCCTCGTACACATTCTTTTGCAACTCTTCCATCTTCTTAATGAACTGCTGAATGTCCTGATTTAACTGACTGTTGAAATCCATCTCCAAATCAGAAGGCTCCATAAATTCAGTCAAATCTTCTATCAGAGTCTGTGGGCTATAAATGTCGCCGCCGACCTCTCCTCGCAACCTCAGCCGCTTCCCTTCATTCTCACCTCCATTTTCGTCTCCCTCGCAACCGCCGAGTTCATGATCACTGCGGGCAGGCCGACCGCGTCGCACCTCCGCACTACTCTGGGTGTGACCCACTGCGTCCAAGGTGTCGTTACCGACTAGCTGCTCGTCAGCAATCTGCTCGTCAGCAATCTGCTCGTCAGCAATCTGCTCGTCGCCGACCTGTTCGTTACTGAATTCGGAAATCCCACTTGGTCGCAGCTTCGTCTCCAAACGAGACCAAGTCATTCCCTTTTCAGGCGGCCGCTCCGGGGAGCTTGAACCTCCATCGTTTTTCGCATTCATTTGAGAGCTCGCAAGAAGCGTCTCCTGCTTGCAGGCCACGGTCGCCTTCTTGCTCAAGTGCCTCTCAACGCCTTCCCTTGCGGTGGCAGCCCTTGGGGTGCCCGGCCTTGGCGTATCAACCCGGGACGTATCACCTCGGGACGTATCACCTCGGGAGGTATCAACCCTTGGGGTGTCAGCTCGGTCACTGTCAACGTTTCCATTTCTGGCATTCTGGTCAGCCTCCGGTTTACTGTCGACTGAGAAACGCACCTGACCGGAAGAACACCCGCGGTGAGAACAGCCGCCGGCAGAACACACAGGGGGAGAACACAGCGGTTGCAATGAGGAGAGTTGCAGCGAGGGTTGTAAGGTTCTTGTGTCGAGGTAAGTGGAGTCGGTAGGGTAGGTAGGGTAGGTGGAATCTGTTGGGTATGTGGAATCTGTGGGTAGCTCGAGTTCGGTCTCGAGTTCGGTCTCGAATTCGGTCTCGAATTCGGTATCAGAACGGAGGTCGCAGACGGGTAAGGGTGGTTGACCGGGACTGGGCAGGTGTGCGAGTCTGGCCATGCTGCCTTTCATGTGTTTACTGAGTTGACTCATGGTGCGGTGCAGGCCAGGCGCGTAGGAAGTTGTGTGAGTGTTCATGCATTGCCACCAGATCCACTCCTTTTCGGCACGGAGAAGAAGCTTGTGGCATTCGAACTGGCCGCCGCACACCTGGCGGGCGGTTTTGTGGTGGGCGTTAAGTAAAGTGGGGTCTGCGCCGGCTTGGAGGAGGGAGAGTAGGACTTGGGTGAATCCCTCACGAGCGGCCAGGTGGAGTGCTGTCCAGCGTTGCGGACCTCCTGCGACATTCACGTTGAAGTTGGCGGCACGTGCCATCTCGCTAGTCTGGTTACTTTCCTTCATGCGCAGACAGTCATGAACAAATTTGACGGCTTTTTGTTGATTACGTTTGCTAGCGAGGTGCAATGGTGCCCAGCCCTCGTTGCCTACCAAGTTGCAATCGGCGCCACGTGAGAGTAAGAAGAGCGCCACTGCTATGCTCGAATCGCCGCCGCTGTCGAAAACGGAGAAGAGTACGTGCAGTGGACTGTGACCGTCGCCGTCACAAAAGTTCGGGTCTGCGCCATACTTGAGCAAAAGCCCCGTCATCAGAGGGTCAATGTTCACCGTCGCTACATGCAACGGCGACCCGTAGACCCCGCCACCGTAGTCCACGTGTGCCCCGCTCGCCAGGAACGCCGATGCCGTCTTCAGGTCGCGATCTTTCACCGCAAACAACAACGGCGAAAACTGACGTGCGTCCAACTGGTTAGGGTTCGCGCCGCCACGCAACAAAGCCTGCACCATCCCTCCGTGCCGCTCCTCCACAGCCATGTGCAAACGCGATCGCCGACTCTTGTCTAAACTCGAAATCCGAAAAGCACCACGACTCAACAACGCCAACAACACGTGCACTGCCGCAGAAGGTAACGACCCCGTCGCCTCCCCCACCAACGTACGACTCCGCTCCGCCCCCCACGAACGACCCACCTGCAATTGCCGCACATTCTTCAACGCACTCTTCGGCACACTCCTCCACCCGCATTGGTCATCACCACCGGGACCACCACCGGGGGCCCCCCGTACGTAGGCCGAGTGGCGCCGGCTGCCTGCACTCCGCTGCGCAACTAAGGGTGGAATCTCCACTTGCGTTTCTGCCAACACGCTTGCCCGACAAAGATCATCAACCACCTCCTCCTTCTCCGCTTCCGGCGTATCCAATTGCTGTACCCATTCCAGAATCTTCGACCTAGAGGACAACCGCTCTCTTATCAGTAACCGCATCTCCACCAACAGCCTGTGGTCCATCCGTCGAGGCCATGCCGGAAAGCAATATTTCGTAAGATCTAGACTCAAATCCATCAGTTCCGGGAGGAAAAAGAGGTTTAAACTAACAGTGTGAAGCGGGTCTAAAGTCAAATCTGTGCTAACAAGTGTGTGCTAACAAGTGTGTGCTAACAAGTGTGTGCTAATAAGTATTTGCTAATAAGTATGTGCTAATAAGTGTGTGCTAATAAGTATGTGCTAATAAGTACGTGCTAATAAGTGGCAAAGGATAGCGTGCTATGAAGGATCACATTGGTAAAGTGCAGGCGTACTGTGTAGAAGACTCAATCTCTCCATTGATTTCCAGTTCGATACTTCCGAAGGAATAATGGTTATGGCGTTGTAATCGAGTGTAAGTTTGATCAACGAAGTCGGTTGAAGTAAAGAGGAGGGTATGCATGTTAGTTGATTGTATGCGAGAGATAAGGTTAGTAGAGAGGTAGTGTGAATCGTGGGTATGGTTGAGATCTTATTATGGTCGAGATTGAGATAGATAATCTTGGAGCAGTGTTCTAGGCATTCGGTGGGGAAGGATCTGAGTTTATTTTTCTTGCAGCAGT